AGGCCAGGAAAGCAGTTTCCCACTTTGATTCACATTTTACATCGGTGTGTCCAATCCTGTTTCTGGAGGGCTACCATCCTGCAGATTTTAGCTTCAACCCCAATTAAACACACCTGAGCTAGCTAATCAAGGTCTTGCTAGTCATACTAGAAACATACAGGCAAGTGAGTTGAGGCAAGTTGGAGCCAAAATCTGCAGGTCAGTGGTCCTCCAGGATAAAGTTTGGACACCCCCGTCTTACATCTTGTCTTAAATGGTTTGTGTAGATCAGGAGTGCCAAATCCTTCTCTTGGAGGGCCACTTTCTTGCAGAGTTTTGCTTGACCTTGCTCCAACACACCTGTCTGGATGTTTCTAGTAATCCTGAAGACCTTGGTTGGTTGGTTCAGGTGTATTTAATTGGGGTTGAAGCTAAACTCTGTAGGCAGGTGGTCCTCCGAGGGCAGGACTGGAAACCCCTGGTATAGGTGAAGCTTATCTATCATGGTAGGACACAAGATCTTTCCAACAATCTTACCTGTAACTTTCCATTATAATGTAGTGCACATTATTGTCTCCAGATAATAAAAAAACAATGTTTTTGTCTCTTTCTGACTGCCTTGCAGAAGAAGCTGACACCAGAGTGTGTTTTCCGTGAGCAATTCGAGGAGAACTGGTACAACACGTATGCATCCACACTCTACAAGCACGCGGACACTGGAAGATACTATTACGTGGCTCTGAACAAGGACGGCTCGCCTCGAGAAGGCGGCAGGACTAAAAAACACCAGAAGTTGACTCACTTTCTGCCCAGACCCGTCGAGATAGAGAAGATACCCCAAGCTTACAGAGACTTGTTCCAGCATAGGTGACCAGAGCATCCGTCAGAGTTGCTGTGTTGGAGAGGTGCAGTAGAGGTGCTGGATGGGGAAGACGGACGCTAAAGAACATTAAGAAATACAAGACCCTACTTCTCTCGCCTCACAGCTGTTTATATTTGGGTTCTGGTCCAAAATGAGGAGGCCCTCTCCAATGGTGATTGAGATAAACAGTACGTGTGTGTCCTGGATGGCTCCGTTTCCTCTCCTTAATGGGTTTTAAACCACAGAGAAGAGGGAACATTCCTGCAACCAAAGCTGGAGCCAAAAGATGTCTTGAGGAAGAGGTGTTGACTTCAGGGCCTCATGACGTGTGTCATGCAATCACCCTTTCTTCAGACACTTTTTGTAAGGTGGACCACATTTTGGCCTTGTTCTCACTGGAAAAAAAAATAGGGTCTAAACCTAAATTTATTGAGTAACTTGTCACCTGAGCATAGGAAGTAAAACTGCCTTTGGCCGTTGAGATAAAACTCAACATGCCCAGTCTGGTGACCCTGGGGCCAAACTCACGTTGAAAGGTCATGATGCAGCACTTACCAAGAAGATGGACACGGGGAGTATTCCCTGACCTTCCAGTAGGACAAATGATAAGCAAGAGCTTTTCAAATTAAATATACCTTTAAGGGCACTTAAAAGGAGAAAGATGCTTTGAAGACCAATGACCAGCTTCTACTGAAACAATACCAATTTTGAATGGAAAAAGTACCAATTGTGAGACAGTGAAAAAGTAACAAGACTTTATAATAATAATGGAAACAAACACCCTTTTCCTAGAGGGGTTTACACAGATGATCTTCTGTCTGCTTCCTTTGAAGGTTCAGGAGAGTTCAAACATTACAAAATTTGGTAGAAAAAGCTAATCAGCAGTAGCGAAGTGATTAGTTGAAATCACTTTCAAAGCAAGCAGGGGAAACACATGGTGCTTGCTGAAGGGTTCGGTAGAGGCTTTGGTCATTTGATTAAGAGTGACTTATAATGTTCAGGTTGTCAGGAACATTATTAAAATGTAAGTGAAAGACGTGTAAATATGGACAAACCTATTTATAAGATGTACAATATATTTATTTTCTACATATAAAGAATAATTATAAATCTATATATAAATCTATTTATTTATTTCAAAGGCTCTATTTTGTAATGAACTTGAAGTTATTGGAATTGTAGATTCTACTGAGATTATTCAGAAGGGCTAAACCATTTGACCTGAATGACTGACAATAAAATTGTCCTGCTATTGTTTATTGTTGGTGACCATATTTGCAAGGATTCTCTGTACCAATTAAAATCTGAGAAACACTGAGCTGATTGAGTTTGACTGCACACACCACTTTTATGAGTTTATCAAGGTACATTCATGGAATGAATGGTCATCTTTGCTAAACAACACAGGAACTCAAAACGCTGTGAGAGCACTAATTATTTAAGTCAACATGATAAGGCATCAGCAAACCATGATATTATCTATCTATAATATCATGTACCGTATTTGCAAGTAAAACAGGGTATTCCAAGAAAATCTTCTTCAGAGGCAGATCAAGTTATGTTTTGATGAAAGATTACAAAAACAAACATTTTTGTCTTTGGAAGCTAGAGTGAATTCTGACTTCATATTGTCTTCAAAGTAGAGCACATCTGATATCCTCTTTCAGAAAATCTTCATGTAAGGGGTCAATCAATCTATGAAATGTTGTTTATCTAGTGCAGAGTAAATTCCAGAACATCACAGCAGCATTCACAGAATAATCCAGCTCTCCAGAGATGTGGATGCTAGCTGATGATGTAAAAAGACAGCTCTTGGCTCGGGGAACCTGTAGGAAAGTTCTCCCTAAGCAGTCTGTAGAGGCATAAATCAACACCCTACAGAAAGTGAAACAATACGAGAGAATGTGTTGCGCTGGTGGGCGTCAAACCTGTTGAAAAGCCTGCAGCACAACAACATTAATTACCTATATAATAGCGATAACGTACGCATAACTATTATTAATGAGTTTTTTGTGAATCCGATGCATTGTAAATTACATCAACACAAAACTCCCTTGGTGATTGAATGAAGATTTGGACCAGCAATGAAGTTGCCCTGAATGGACTTCTATAGGGTTTCAGTCATCTTACATCATCAGAAACGAACAGAACAATCCAGATTTACAAACATTCACAACCCCACCCACCACCGACGCCTGACAACATGCTTGGCTCGTTCCTGCTCGGATGATCAATAGTTAGGCATTGCAGCCAGCACGCTCGGATACTTTCAGATACGAAGTGTATAGTGCATGTTCAAGAGAACGGAAGCAGGTTTTAACATTGGAGGATAGATGGGGCAACAGCTGAGCCGAAGTGGCCGAGTGGTAATCTGGGCATACCAAGGATGGGATCAACATTTCAACATCTGCAATAGTTGTAATGTTTCTCTTTTGGCAGCTTTGTGCAAGCTGTGAACGCAAGCTCCCCTCGGGGGGGGGAAACTTGGGCTTGAGGGGGCGAATGGAAAAGAGGGGGAGAAAAACCCTGGCAGCTAAAGAAATGAAAATAATAGCAAGCAGTAGAAACGACACAGCAGATGAAAGACTGAAGGGGAACAATGGGGTGTACGGGAGGATATAATATTCGTATTCGAGAAAACGCATCTGAAATTTGGTTTTGCCGTCACGGATCTCAAATACAGTCTAGTTCGTTTATTCATTTACCGAAAATAATGAATAGCTGTTTGAGTACTCACTAGTTCTTCAAAACCACAACTTCCTAGTATCGGCTTAAATCAGGGGCAAAAGTTTCTCTTGTCTTCTGGTGACCTCATCTGACTGTCAACTGCACTGCTGCATCATGGGAAGGGAGTGGCACAGTTTCACATGCATAAGACACGACTAGCTAGTATGTATCGGTCCCAAAAAGTAGTAAGTAAAACCACTGTCTAGAGTTCAAGGTTGCCAACATATAGTTAGGTACTATATGTGTGTTAGGTTTAAATAAAAAGAAAGGGGGGATTACTCAAACAATATATGCCTTCTGGCTCGTCTAAGTTAATTTCATACGAGTTCCCATATAGCATTCAAACTTGAAGTATCACCCAAGACCCCGATTTATTTAAGAACCCATGACACATGTTACTATAAGCAGTGCGTCTCGCAGAACCATCTAAAAGAGCAAATGTCACAATTCTTGACAATTCTCAAAATTGATGAAACTGAAGATTATGTAACGAATAATATAAACGTTCATACAAAAGTTAAAAATATTTAAGAACTTTCATGACTATTCCATTACTTTTGTTCAGTGGATACATTAGCAATCACAATTTCTTCATGACAAAATATCTTAAAACTAAGCATCAATAGAAAATTTCAAATAAAACAAATTATTTGAAATTTCCATGATTTTTTAATTCCCCTGTTGTCTTTATTTAGGACATGGATTTGCATATAACATACTATTTGCCAGTAATTGTGCAGAAATTGCACACACAAAAAAAAAAACCACACACACACAAGAACTGCATGTAACATCCTTTTGGTCACTTTATTTAAATGTGATATTAAATACTAAGTAGCAGTTCATATTAATGGCAGAAGTTGTTGGTGCATATGCTAACATTAGAACATTTTCAGGAGGGGAAAAAGTTCCTCTACATTTCTGAATTGCGATCCCAACGCAAGTGGGGAAAAGAAACCGAAAGAAATAAACAACAGAAAAAGAAATTATGAACAGTTCTCACAACAATATGCTAGGCAACACTACAACGAGAAGTCTGATGTTACAAAAGTCCGGAGGAATTCAGCAAGCAGTTTTAACAACACAGACATTCCATAGCGTGATTAGCAACAACAAGTTTAAATACCTAAAAGCAGATTAGAAAAAAGGGTTTTAAAACATTAGAAGAGATCTAGCTGCTTGATATAAGGCCATTTGACTTGACGTTACATTTAAGGTGTCCGCTGCAGTGTCTCTGGAGCACTGTACCGATGACAATCCACTACTAGGAAGATATTAGCGCAGATAGTATTTACGGGGGCTCTAGAACAGAAACGCTATGGTCCCTCCTCAATCACGCTGTTTTCCTTGCAATATAATTATTTATATATGCACAGCCCTTATTCAAGGGGAAAGAAACCTGCAATGCCTAAAAGCATTTGGGGAGAATATCTTCTTCATTCTTAAATACGTGAGAGAGGAAAAAAAAACATAAAAAAAACTTGAATAACATTAAGGCTATATACACAAAATGACAAACTGCACTGCCAAAAAGTCCCAGGATGCCCTCTCGTTACCGAGGAGCTGAAGTAGGTGTCCTGGCTGAATCAGTCCAGCTGTGTGTACACCGAGGGGCGGAGGCATCTACAGGCCCTTAGACGGGCCCGGGTTCTTGCCCAGCTGTGAGGAGGGGAGGCCCTGGAGCGCCCCGAGCTGCTGGTACAAGCCCAGCAGATCCATCTGATTTATGGGGCCAGTAAGACCATTCTGCATGGCCAGCTGGTTGAGCAGAAGACCCTGCCTCGCCATTGCCAGCTGCTGCTCCTGCACCTTACGGTTGGAGATCACCTTCTGCACGTACATCATCAGCTGGAGAAGAGACGGAGATCGGATGTTAATGTTCTCTTATGTGGCTTCAGAAAGTCATGCAATATCAGGGTCTCCAACAGAACTGGTGCTACTACATAACCCGTCCACAAAGCACCACATTCTCTGATTACAATCAAGAATGTATTTTGATATCCAATTTCAACAGTCAAACGCGTCCATGTGTACATATAAAAAACTGTGGAAAAGCAGCGCAAACGAATAAAAAAAACCTGTCTGATATTTCATGTTTGCATCATGGTGACCGGCTGAAAGCAGTTGTTCATTGTTTTTACAGAACATTTACAGTTAATAAAAGTCTACTGGTGTTATACCTTCAGTCATTTCGAATTTGAATTACCTTGACTTTTGAGATTTTTTTTTAAAGCATTTTTCTCGTATTCTTTTTTAACATATAACATGCATAAGACAAGTTTGTACAAGATGCAGTCGTAGTTAATGCTTCTTTTCTGCAAAGATATTTAACAAGTGATTTGTTTAACATTTACATCATGTTGACAACTTCATGTGTGCTGCACTCGGAATAGAATTTTCTTTAACTAGAGGGTTAATGAAGAAAAAGCTACTTGAATCATATTGTAGTTACATTTACAAGTTGACTAGTTAAAAATCTTTTTTTTTTTAAATCGAGAATAGGTCAAACGTTCTGAAAAAATAAATAAATAAAAAAATCGAGATGGTCATGTTTTGCCATATCGCCCAGCCCTAAATCACAAGTTAATAAAGTAACAACTGCAACACAAAAATATAGCAATCACAAATTAGAGGTTTATGGACATTGGATTTGGCTGATGATATAAAAACCCAATAAAAAAAATATATACTATTTTGCCGTTACTAGTATTTAATGTTGTATTTTTAAACGCCAGATGTAGTTTATTGTATTATTGTAAAATATGCACTCTTACAACCTTCTACAACATATTACAATATAGACACCATGAAGCAAACATGCCATAATTCATCAGCAGTAGATCATAAGCAATCGTTTGGCATACACGCACAGTTTCCACTGATTTTGAACTGCTCTGAAACGGAGTCTGTAGAACGTGAAACAGTGCCGAATTTTTACACTGAAGCATGCAGCACTAACATTTATCGGCCTTTTTAAGTTAAACAACAACATAAGGCCTTATTGCAACATTTAAACTTTTTATGCCCTTAAATTTGATCAAACTGAATTTAAGACATTTTAGGACTTTTTAAGAGACCCTTAATTCATTTACGCATCACATTTAATTATTTTGGACAAATGGAGAATAAAGGGGTGCAACAGGGTCCCCCAGATGTAAAAATCCCTTTCATTCTATTTAGTTTATAATGTTAATGTCACTTAAACACAGATAGAACATAAGATGAGCAAACGTACAGTTTGTTGCTTGCCGAGGACATCACGGTAAATAGCCTCCCTGTGTTTGATTTCCAGCTCGTAGCCGGCCTGCCTCCCAAGAGCCATGGACTGAACCTGGGCCTCGGGTAAACTCGGGTTCTCCTTCCACTGCCAAAAACAACACACCCGTTACATCCTGTAGATCTCAACAAACAAACACTTACACGCTCATCACACACACACAAACACATTTAGCAGTTGTTCAGAACGTAGTCCAACATCTCAAGCTTAATACTGATGACACGGCAAACTATAGGCAAAAACTACAGCCTCAAAAGTGTATATTGAAAAAAAAGCTTGCTCCATGACACTAGGGTATAGTGGCTTGATGTTATACAGGTGTTGTATGTGGTTGTCAGGTCAACAGAGCCCATCTTCAAGTCTCTATATTATTCTGGTCTCCAAATATGACTCAGTGTAGGTCTATAGATTTTGGTCATTTTATCACCCAACCAGAGTTTCATCCATTCATGAGCACAAAATGTATGGGACAACCTATGCATTAGAGGTTCAACTGGGGGAAGTACTAACAACAACAGTGATTTTTGCCTTGGCAAACACAAACTGCAGAGCAAATTTTCAGTCTTGTCAGGGAAAGTGGGTTTTGCATCAGTTATTGGTCATAACAGCCCATAGATGCAACACTGTACCTGAAGCTTTAAGGCCCTGATATACTTGAAGCAAAATCTAAAAACCATACTATTGTGAAGTCATTGCGAACAAAATCAGGCCAAAATGAAGTTTGTTTGGAGTTTCTGGAAGTGTTTGCTCCTGCTGTTAAACCCCTTCTTTTAAGAGGTAGATGATTCTTTGACTTGGAAAACGTCTGCGTTTCATTTCTTCTGTTCAGTCTGGCGAGGTCAGACGCGAGTTAAAACATGAACACACTGCAGAACTGCTTTATAGCAGAAACTGAAAGCGACACTGACACTTTTTTCATGTTTACTACTGTAAAGCTGCTTGCTTTAAAGCAATCTATTGTATAAAGTGTTATATAAATAAACATGACCTGACTGGAGTGCAGAATTGCAGAGCTGCACAAACTTATCCACGTTGCCATGATCAGATGCTTTCTTAACTGCTGTTTTCTCACCGCTGTCAATTTGTTGTGTTTATTTGGTTATAGAGAGGAAAGCACGCGACATTTACATATGCATCTCTTTGGGATGTTCACTAACAGTAAACTGCTGCTCAGGCATTTAAAAAAACTTGTTTTCACCCCTAAGCGAAGAGTGAAAAACATCTGCGTCGTGAGTATATTAGGGCCTTTCCGACGAAAGCCTCACTGTAGGGAATCTCCCTCTCTCTCCGGTCACTCACCACCTGCGCGATGATGTCCTCCAGTGGTTCCCTGGGCACTGACTTCAGAGCGTTAGTGGCTTCCAACACTTTCAGCCTGCCCTGGTTAATCAAATCCTTGAACACCGAGAGAAAAAAAACTTGAGAAGACAGAAAATACTAGACGAGATGAAACAAACATGAAAATATTTCTGAATTTGATATTTTCACAGAGATAGCTAGCATTTGTAACGCCGATTCAATACTATCCCGATACTTATCCCGATTCAATATATATTGCAATAATTGAGTATTGGGATTTTATAACCATTGTGATTCGATATTACACTTTATTGTGATTTTTTTTGCTTATTGCTAGATTTTATTTCAGGAGCATACACATACACAGTGTATATTTTGAGTTTTCCACTTGTAATAACGACTTTGTGGTGGCGTTCATGTGCATTCAACTCATAAATACGATGTGTCCGACATGACTTGAACGCACCATAATACAGCGGCGCTGCGCAGACCGATCGTTGTATAACATCAAAGCACCGTGAGAGCCACAGAGAGCAGACGGCTCCGCATGCTTTCGAAACGCTCTCGCAATACACCGATTGGTCTGCGCGGTGCTGCTCCAAGTCGAACACACCTATACATGTCGCCCTCTGCTGGAATAAAAGCGGTAACTTCTCCCCACCACCTCTTAGGAAAAGTAAAATAATTAAATACAGATCGATTCTGAGATAAACCAATCGATTTTTAAATAGTTTTAAAAAGAGTCGCGATAGTTAAGTGAATCGATTTTTTTCTAGTAAACAGCAGCTGGCAGGGCACAAGCCAAATGTTGGTGCCCGAGGACGCATGTCACAATTAGCTGCCGGCTGAAGGAATGTGGAAAGAGCATGTGGAGCTCATTACTTACCTCCAACTGTTGGTTACTCATGGAGGCCAAAGCAGCCACGTTGAAGGGGAAGTAAGAGTTTGGTCCTGCTCCCATGCCCATCTGAGAATAGGACGGCTGGTTGAAACGCATGGACAGCCCCTGAAACAACAGACGAGCGGGTCCATCAGTTGGAAAGAAACAGAGAAACTTCATTTTACGAGATGAGGTCACACAGAAAGATCCCAATTATAAATAATCTTCAAATCAGGTTCGGCCTGACAGATGAGTCAGCCTTCCATCACACTAGCACTTGCTGCAGGGTAATCAAAGCATTGCTTTGTGGACTTTATTTTCCACTCGATTTGCGACTTTGACATGATTTGTCTGCGATCTGGCAAAGACGCATGCCGAACGATAATTCCCGGCCAACAGATCGCTGGAGGATCCAAAAAATCCTGATGTGCACCCATGTGAACCTCTGTTAGGGTCCTGCCCAAGCTGTGTTTGTCTTACGGCTCTAAACAGAACGTTCCCCTGCTGAAGGTCAGCAGGATGGCTGTGTTTGTGTGTAAATGAGCTACCGAGGCAGATGCGGCCAATCCCACCCTCTAATTGGGTCTTTGGTGCATGCAGCTCGTAAACACACTCCACAGCTGAGTGTCCGGTGTTCAGACCTGGCACAAGCAGGTGAGCGGCACAGATGCCGGCGTGGATCGCAGCTGTGCCGCAGACCGCGGGACAATCTAAACGGACCCTCTTTTTAATCTGGTTTCAAAATGTGACGCTGGCTGTATGGCTGTTTTCAACTAAATCTTGAGCAGAACTCGATAGGGCTCTCTAATCACTGCAAGTGACTGCTTAAAATCCACTTTAATGGCTCTGACATAGTTAATGATTTTAAGCAACCAAATTAGACAAAGCTCTTCAATCTTAACATACACAAATGACTGTAGCGAGATGATCAAAAGCAGGTGAATTCTTTTCGTTGCATATAATAGCTATGGCCAAGTGATTCACTGATGAAATTACTTTGATTTAAGCATAATATTTAAAACATCTTGCCAAAAAATAACATGAAATTTAGGAGACAGATTACATGTAGCGCAGAAACTGTGTCAATATGGTATGAATTACGCACACTCGCACACACACACACGCACACGCACGCACACACACACGCACGCACGCGCACACGCACAAATCTAATCCCATGTCATAAATCCTCAGTATAACAACCGAGTGAGTCCCAGCAGGTATAACTACAAATACAGCTCCTGTATTGGGGACTAAAGTTAGTGATATTTTTCCATGTTCACTTTGTACATTTTTACTGAAGTGTTCAAGGAAAGGACACACACACACACACACACACGCATGCACGCACGCACACACACACGCACGCACGCACACGCACAAATCTAATCCCATGTCATAAATCCTCAGTATAACAACCGAGTGAGTCCCAGCAGGTATAACTACAAATACAGCTCCTGTATTGGGGACTAAAGTTAGTGATATTTTCCATGTTCACTTTGTACATTTTTACTGAAGTGTTCAAGGAAAGGGGACAGTCTGCGGACAAAGTTTGTGATCGCACACGCACAAATCTAATCCCATGTCATAAATCCTCAGTATAACAACCGAGTGAGTCCCAGCAGGTATAACTACAAATACAGCTCCTGTATTGGGGACTAAAGTTAGTGATATTTTTCCATGTTCACTTTGTACATTTTTACTGAAGTGTTCAAGGAAAGGGGACAGTCTGCGGACAAAGTTTGTGATTCAGTTTACTCAAAGAAGTTGACTAATGAGAAAGCTGACTGCAGAATTATTTCGCAGGTAATCGGTGTAGATCGTACGTGATTGCAAAAGGAATAATTACACTGAATCTGAATGGAGAAAAGGCACTTGTAATTAAATTCAACTGCAGAGTCAGAGTCCCACAAGGCCAACAAGTCACTTCTCTCCCAAAAACCTCCACTAATGAGTGGCTGACCTGAGGGCGAAGAGTCTCTAATCTAAAGACAATGACTCGGATTGTTTGAATACTACAAAGGATTCCAGGATTAGATATAAAAAGGACACAGGCTCTCGGCCATCATCTACACCCACAGACATGCAGGTTTCACTGCGTTTATGTAAGGGAATGATTCGACTCTCTGAACAACTAGACACTTCAGAAAAGGTGTGCTTCAATAGGTCTGGACAGAACCATTATCACCTAAAGAACACTTTCCAAGCAACAAAGCTTTTTGGTAGCTCCCACTTGTTTTATGCAGGTCTAAATAAAGCTTGCTTATTTATGTGTCTTACAAGGAGCTATTCATTGACGCTTTCGAGGAATTTTATGTAAGCACATATGAATACAGTTAGCCCTTACTCATGGTGTTCCTTAAAGTGTGGGTTAATTTCTTATGATGATATCACTTCACAATATTATTTGACAGGTGTGGAGCATCACTAAAGAAATAATCATCAACCTCACCAAGATTCTTAAACCACTATCAGTTATGGCCAGATACAAACAGACAATTTATTTTTATTGAAATATTGAAAAAAACAAAAAACACCTGAAATATGGCTAAACTCTAACATTATATTTACGAATTGATATGCAGGTATTAGAAAACATTGTTATCATTATATGTATATAATAGTAAAGGGCTTGTGTGGTTACACACCTTCTTTTCGGCCTCGTATTCGGCCCAGGCCGCCTTGCGATCTTCCTCACTCAGTGCCTCTTCCTCCTTGTGGTCCAGCAAAGAGTCATGCTCGTGGTAGCCGACGATGTGATCTTTGTAACTGTGAAGGAGTTCTGCCAGGAAAGGATCCTGGGACGGGAGAAAGGGTCAAAGAAAGATGGGTCAGCATCCCACATGAAAACACAAGCACAGGGCTCCAGACAAAAAAAAAATATAAAAATAATAGTGTAAGGAGCCATTGGCTCCTATAAGAAACAATCTTAAGCGCCAAATTATTTTTTTAGGTGCCACTGAATAAACGTGTTTTATTTATTTAAAAAAATATATATTTGATATATTTTTTACATTTAACATTTTAATCATACTGTCATGTGTTTATGTCTCATATATTTGTTTTTTTAATTTATCAGCATTTTAATTCATCAAGTAGATGTGCTGGGAACTAATGTTCACTTAAAGTGGGAACTAAACGTCTTTAAAATATATAGTCACAAAGAATTGTTTATTACACAGAATCTGTGCCGATATCATGGACTATACTGTAAGTATCACTTGGCCACTGAGTGTAGTTTGGGCTCCTCCTCAATGCATCCTATAAATGTTGTTATATGTCTTTCACACATCTAGTCGGTTTTCTTCATTAGTAAAATGCAATTTTATAGGTGTTGAATTTTATCTTTAGCTTGCATTATTTCTTATGTAGACAAAAGGTTAAGTAAAAATATGAATATGCAATAGCTCATTAATATAGCAAGATGCTCCTCTTTATAGTTATTTTTCTAGCTGACTGATGAGCTTATGGACACCGAATGGTTATTCTGAGGTAAATGTATTATTACATTGCAATGTTTCAAGCTTTACACGTTTTCCGCAGTTTGAAACACTGAATGAGCTTTTACATGAGACATTTCAGTAAGTTGTACTGTAGGCTCTCTTATAAAATAGCCTACCTTTAGATGTTAATTCATGTTCATTATGTACTATAGTAGACATAAAGAGAAAGATATAATTAAAGAGATATAATAGGTTCACTTGCCGCTTAAACGAGGGCGCTAAAGCGATCGCGTCTGCCGCATTAAAGAGCGCCAACACCGTATTTATTGTATGTTATTATTCGTTATGAATTTGGCAGAATTTTATAGCTGATACTTTGTTTATTAAAAGGTGACAAAGCACAAAGCTTATTGCGATTACTGGACGGCAAGTTAACCCTTTAGGCGCCAGGGTTTTTTTGGAAAAATGCTGGATTTTGACATCAAGATTTCAAAAGCTTGTGGCTTGAAAGGGCTTAAAGATAGAGATCTACTGTAAATTAGAAAAATGTTGGGCATGACCGAAAGTTTATGTGGGGTGTAAATATACTCGTCTAATTAGCATATTATGACGTCATCAGGGGGCGGCCCTCTTGAATGTCATAATAATCAGGAAATAATAGATATTGATTTGATGTTTGAACTTATTTGCATGTTTTTTTTTTTTGTCTTGTTATCCTTATTCCAAATGATCAGAAAAGAGGAAACCAACAATAAAACAAAAGAAAGTACTAAATTATTACTATACTATATAGTAGTAAAACGCATGTGAACAGTAGCCTACTTTTTGATCAGTTCATCAGTAATATTCAAGAAATAGTAGATATTAAATGGATGTTTGAACTTATTTGCATGTGTGTTTGTTTTTTTGTCTTTTTATCCTCATTCCAAATGATCAGAAAAGAGGAAACCAACAATAAAACAGGAAAAGCATCAATGACACGATAGCTCACTTGCTCTGCTCTTTCCTCAAACACTTTGAATAGGAAGGTGACGTAATTTTGGTCTAGAATCGAAGTACTACATGTCTGCCATCTAGTGGTAGGGAATACAAATGAGATATTACACCATATCAGGAACTACAGTCTATTTGATTAAGTATAACGTCTTGTCGCAATTTTGCGACTTTGGCGCCAAGAGGGTTAATTTTTATTATATTCATTTTAATATTTTTGGTGGCAAATGTGACCGTTTTAGTCGCAGTCTGGAGCCCTGACACAGATGTACTCCCCTAATAATCACCATCACGAACATAATTATTGAGCAAAATCAACAATTAAACATTTTTGTGTCTTATCAAACAGAAAAAAAATGTTGCTCTGGCTTAATTAAACTATTCAAAAATGTTGATTACAAAGAAGTCATATCATACATACATTTTATAATTTAATTTTTAGTTTAGTCACACTTTAGTTTGGGGACCAATTCTCACTATTAACAAACTATTAACTTTAACTTTTATGTTGGTAAACTCCTAATTTGCTTCTTATTAAAAATGTAGGTACGAGGTAGGATTAAGGGATCTAAAATATGGTCATGCAGATTAATTTCTCCAAAAATTTAACCTGATTAACCTGCCCCTGGCAAGATTTTTTTTTTTTTTTAAATAATCCATTACACGCGAATGTACATCACAATAGAGAAGTAAAGATGCCTCACTACCTCCATTTCATTGTAACTTTAAAACAATTTACTTTTTCATTTTCATCTCACTGTGACTAGATGGCCAGATTCTGATCACCTAATTAGGAGTCACACGTGGATGTACTTATGCACTTGACATTAAAAAGTTACACAGATTCTAAATGTGTCGTTTTTGCAGTTTAGATCAAAGAAATGGTGTTTCTGAACAAGTTTTGAGTTCCAAAAAAGTTACAGCATGCTTTCATACCATGAGCTCTTTTATCTCATAACAAATAAATAAATAAATAAAATAGCCAATTTCAGAGGCTTTCATGCAACTCTGGTATCCATGACTACACTGTTATTGAAAACAACACCTGAGCGGTGCGCAATTCACATCCAGGCCTCGTACAAACATGGTTTAAAATTACTCTACAGCTATTGTTTGCTTTTCTTTGTCTTGCCTGCGCTTTACATTGAAATGCCTTCAAGATCTAGAAACATCTGCTGGATCCCAAGCACATGAACATAAACGTGTGATAGTTACGTCATCACCCGATTTAGCAGAGACAACAAACAGAATAAAACAAAAACAAAATTAATCATAATCATCACAACGTTCAAAAAGAAAAGCCTCGGGTTTCTAAATTTAGGACTGCTTACTAAATTGCTACAGAAAAGTTTGGATAAACAGAATCTGAGGAACAAAGTGAGCAAGCCTCAATCGTCCTCCAAAGAGCCTATCATGATTAACCAGATCAAGGTTTGTTTCAAGAAATAAAGATAACAGAAGTAAGACAGGTACCAAAAACAGAGCCATGCCTTCTGCATTACAGCAGAGTGTAATGGAGAGCGCAGCTACAGATCAGTCCACATCAAGGCTTTTTAGTAAGTGGCTTCGATAGCTGGAAAATAAAAACATGTGGCGAAAGCAAGCACAATCACGCCAGGCCTGGCCTATACCCTCCACAATCCCGACTGGATGAGTGATGGTAATTTCTGGCTAAGTGGCTAAATTAAAACATGGCTGGATGCTGCCATGTGAGGAACCCCTTCTGCATCACAACCGTGAAAAAGACTGCATGGAAAAGATGATCTCTTGTTGAAAGCGTGCAGAAGACGAGGGGCAACTGAAGTGTGAGCCGCGTCTCTGGAGCAAAAGACAATTCGATGATGAAGCTGTTGTTTGAGCACATTTCAAACACTCGCCATCATGAGAGGGCCGACCTGAGCTTATCTGAACATTGGCCAATTTTGAGCCGGGTAAATGGGTCACAGAGCCGCTGGGTCAAATGACAGTGAAGCCGTCCAGGGGAGCAGGGAATGCCGGGATTCCTGATTAATCTCCAGGCTGGAGCTCCGCGGGTGGTCTCGTCTGTTTCCGTAACCTGCCCTACATGTGCATCTAGGCACTAATGACGGTAACAAGAACTCCTGCATTGTCATACTGTGAGCTAACCCCATGCATAATGACGGCTTAGGAAAAGGATATCGTTTTACTCCATGCATGGATGTGGAATAGGCTGGGTGGGGGAATGGGGGAATCAGCAGACAGCAGATTTTTTTTCTCTTCTCAGGAAAATGGGGAGTGGGGATCCCACAGAAAGTAAAACGGGGGAGGAAGCATTTTGCTTCTGATCAAAGCATGGAGGTGCATGAGCCAGACTGCTGCAAGGATAAATACTGCCCCAGGTGAGGAACCGTCTATCTGCCCATGTCTGAACACCACGCTCTTTCACATCTTGGAATATCACAACAATAGAAATTATCTCCTTGTGAGTCTTTGCCATTTTTGCCATATCCTATTGTATGTTTTTGAAAACAGATTGTAGACCTCCATAAACATCTCTGTTACGCTTGAGTAAACTTGAAATCCATTTTCCTTGGGTTTTGAACGTTTAGTTTGCATCTTTCGCGATGGCGCCGACGCTGATGGCTGCCTCCGTGGCGTGCGCCGCAGTTGTTTTTATGTTTTTGTTAGTTTGTCCTGTCTTTAGTTATATCCCTGCAATCAGTTTCACCAGAGACGAATTGCTGGACATTCGGAAGTACACACCACCCGATATTTCACCGGTTTTCGA